CCGTCTTTGCTAACATAGGCAATGCACGCGCTGCCAAACCAGCAAGCACCCCAAGGAAGCCGCCCTCAACTTTCACATTATGCTTGAGTTGTGCTTTACTCATTTTGATGGTTATTCCTTTGCCACACACATTGGCCTTTGCTAATCACTTCACTTGTCTGTCTGTAAGTGCTAGGACATCTTCACCGTTTAAATCTTCGTGACCAAAACGGACACTGACAGGACAACCGCTTTGAAGGACCTCTCGTAATTTTTGTTTCTGCCCTTCTAAAACATTCATTTTTACATTTGTGTAGTGAGTACTCATTTTTTTTATATAGAATATTTATTTTTTTATTACACTTGTCTTATGTGAAACCTCATCGATAAATTTTCCCCTCTTAAATTAAGCAGCCTGCCATTTTGATCAGTGAGTGATGTTTCAAGACTGTATATTGTGTCTAATGTTACAGGAAGATACACCAAATTTACTGGTGTTTCCACTATTTTATGTCCGGGGGAGTCATTTGGAAAGAATGAATATATCGTATTTTGGGAAGCTCCATTAACGTAGCTTCCTGAGATTATATCAATATTGACAAGCAAGTTGTTAATACTAAGAATGTTAACTACATTTTCAGACTCCTGAAGCCCTGGTGTGTAAATGTCGTTGTTAAATCCTAACACGCTGGAAATGGAGTTGGGTTGTCTAAAATCTACTTGGTAATTATTATCTAAAATAAGGACAGACCTTGGTGTGTTTGTATTGGCAGAAATTGTAACGTAATAATCCTCATTAACACTATCATAGTGCCCACTCCGCCTCATCACTTGTTGAATTATGTCATTAATGTCACTGATGTCGTAGCTACCTTCTGGTACAAAAATTTCGAACCATGTCGTTCAACCATCGGGTGAGTATCTAAAATAATTATTCGTCGCATCAATATTAGGAAAAGAGTAGTACGTCTCGAGGTTTACGAGCTCCATTTCATAGTTTCTATTCTTATCAAGTTGAATCGGTGTATTGAACCTAGTTTTAAAACGTGTCTTGTTGCTATTCACAACAATCTGAAGTGAGCTTTTTGGCTCTGTATTTTCAGCTATGTTCTCAAGTATTGGTTCCATTTTGTTTATAACATATTTATTTTTTATAATATATTTTTTAACTCCGTTGCTTCTCAGGTATATAAAATATATCAAATCCACTTCTGTACTTACCATTCTGCCTGTTACTGGTCAGGTCGATAACTACGAACCCATGTGGTTTTTCCCATGCTACCTTACACAGTTTTCTAAATTCATCTTTCGACATGTCTTGGCTTACATGATCGTTATAGATATGGTTGATATTCTTAAGGTCTTGTGGGAACAAGCAGATACAATTTGCATTTTCTCTAATCGTTTGACGTGGTAACTTGAAGTAGTTTTGTGAAAGGTAGAAACAATCTACATTGCTGTGTCTTCCACGAATATAGTAAGACTCACATTTATTCTGTTTCTCTAGCAGCAAATCATCGAATACCATTAAATTCTTGTTTTCAGAACTTAAATCACGAGGGTCTGGGACGTCTTCAGCAGATTCGTAAAAGCTGCATTGTATGTCAGACTTGTCTTTCATCCCCTTAGACCATTCCTCAACAAGTGCTGAGGGTGACACATCTAACCTCATTACCTCATCACGCAGGTCAAGCAAGCGCATAATAGCTTCTTTTGGTAATTTCCCTTCAAAAGCTTTCTTGAGGATGCGGTATTCAGGTTGGAATAGACTCTTGCCAAATACTGCTAGCTTGTTATAGTCAAGCCAACCCGGTCTTAGTAAAAGATTGAGCAAAGGAGTGGTTTTACCACACCCCGATTTGCCTATAATTAATCCCCTAATGCTTTTTGGCAGAAGCAGGTGATTGAACCGTTTTGACACCATTTCGTTCCACGACAGATCTTTGACTTCCATTTCTTTTAAATATAGATAAAAAATCTTATATAAAAAATATGTATTGCGTGAAAAGAGTTACTGAAACAAGTGACGTACAAAACACCGTTTCTAAAAATGGGCGAAATATGAAACGGGGTAAATGTGTCGTGTGTGGAACTACAAAAACACAATTTGTACGAGGTACCAGAGGCGGATCGATGTTAAATAAAGCCATCAATAATTTACCGTTTGAAATGCATCTCCCAGGACATAATTTTACAGGACCGGGGACCAAGCTCGGTAAAAGGCTGAAACCAGACCTAACACCAAAGGAATGGAGTAAACCTGTAAACAGGGTTGATAATGCTGCATACCATCATGATGTGTGTTACTTGAAAAACAAGGACACTAAAACAAGAAATGGGGTATGCGACAAGAATATGTTAAATGAATTGGATGGTATTGTGACCCCCACATTTAGAGAGAGGCTGGATAGATCTATTGTAGACAAGATCATTGGCACTAAGATGAGGTTTGGAATGGGGGTGGGAGGGAAAAAAAGCAACAAGTTGAGCTCAAAGCATTAGCCGAAGAATTACACAGACCTGTGAGAAAAAAGTTTGAGAGGAGGAGGGTACGTGTTAATGGCATTGATGAAATTTGGGCCGCAGATTTAATAGACATGCAGGCATTCTCAAAACTTAATCGTGGCACTAAGTATCTCCTTGCTGTTATTGACATTTTCTCCAAATATGGTTGGTTAGTACCATTAAAAGATAAAACGGGGATATCGGTCGCAGCTGCACTGAAAAAGATACTCAAGGCGAGGAAACCGAAAAAGATGTGGGTGGATAAGGGCAAAGAGTTTTTACAATAAAGAAGTGCAGAGTTTGGTCGATTTATACTCCATCGAAAATGAGGAAAAATCGAGCGTGGTGGAGAGATGGATCAGAACGACGAAGGAAAAAATGTGGAAATACTTTTCCGCAAATTCCACGAGTGTATATATCCACGTACTCGACGAACTTGTTGATCAGTACAATAATACAACACATTCATCAACAAAACATACACCCATCGAAGCTAGCAAGAAGAAAAATGAATCCCGAGTGTGGATGAATCTATACCCCGACCATGATGAGCCTAGGAGAATTCACCCAAAGTTTTCTATTGGAGACACCGTACGGATAAGCAAGAAAAAGAAAACCTTTGAGAAGGGCTATAAACCGAAATGGACGGAAGAAGTATTCACGATAACGGCGGTACAACGCACGTCGCCCGTCACGTACAAGATCAGCGACGACCACGGAGAAGAAATCCGGGGCACCTTCTACGAACCCGAGTTGCAGAAGACGAGCCAAGAGATGTACAGGATAGAAAAGGTCGTCAAGAAGGGGAAAACAAAGTCGTTGGTCAAGTGGAAAGAGTCGTTCAATTTGTGGGTCAGCAATAAGGAGCTAGTTACATTATAACATTATTTTCTTTAAGTCATTTTTTTTCATATATTTTCATATACTTTAACTCATTTTTCTTGATTTTTTCCCCCCTGGGTAACCATGTTTAAACATACAATCGAATTTCAACCATTGTTGTGGTTGGATATGTGAAAATGTCCCAGAATCGGCAATTTCCTACTACTGGCATCACACACGGCAAATTTCATATCGCATAAGGAAAGAGAATATTTCCCAATGATATAATTAGGAGGACAGAAATATTTCCCCATAATCTCCATCAACCTGTATCATTTGAAAGCCCGTATGATGGGTTCAATCGTCTGTTGACAACATTTTACGCGAAAGTCGTGATATTGAGTACAAAGTATTGAATATTGAAACAAACGCGACATGTAAACAGCAGAGATTAAACACACAAGAAATATACAGTATGAACAAGTATAAACATTATTCTAGCCTATAAACTACTTATTGCTAAATGATTCATACCACAACATAAATAGGACTTGTCATCAATACCGATCAACCAATTAGACGTAATATTTCCCCATGATTTCCATCAACCTGCATCTTTTCATATGTAACGAGTTTGTCTGTCAGTAGACGACTTCCTGTACGAAAATCGTGATGGTGGGAAAAGGCTCTAGAATATCGAATCAACAGCAACATATTATCTATATAGGTTGGGGATGCATAGATATTGCTATCCAGACATGGAAAATTCGCCAATAAGGAAATTGAAATCATCATTTTTTGTCATACAGATTAGCGGAAAGCTATCCGTATTAGTTTTGTTGTAGGTATATACGATGGACGTGGTGAATTAATTTATTGCTATTTAAAGAAAGGACGCCATCAATTCGTCTGAAAGTGAAATTAAACGACTTTGCAAGGTCTTAGTGTTTTGATAAGCTCTTCAGTAAATCCAGCCTCTTTTGAAAACAAAAGTCAGCCACCAGAGAGATACTGTTTATTTCCCTTAGGTATACCAATAGACTGGGGGGATCTTACCGCCAAACTTGACGGAGATGTTGTCTACCAGAAACTCGATCATTTTTATGATTTCGCTGTGTATCGGCTCAGATAGTGATTGGGAACAGCCAGGTACATAATTATCGGCTCAGATAGTGATTGGGAACAGCCAGGTACATAATTATCGGCTCAGATGGTGACTGGGAACAGCCAGATACATAATTATCGGCTCAGATGGTGACTGGGAACAACCAGGTACATAATTATCGGCTCAGATAGTGATTGGGAACAGCCAGGTACATAATTATTGGCTCAGATAGTGATTGGGAACAGCCAGGTACATACTTAACGGCTCAGATAGTGATTGGGACAGCCAGGTACATAATTAACGGCTCATATAGTGATTGGGAACAGCCAGGTACATAATTATCGGCTTAGATAGTGATTGGGAACAGCCAGGTACATAATTATGAAATGAAGATTGAGTCCAGAGTTCACCATACTCGTGTACAGCCAGTCGTTACAGTAACAGGACTAGTTACATAAATAATAAAATAGAAGTTTGAGGAATTATTTCAATTATGTTAATGTCATTCATTGTTAGCAATTGCTAGTTATCTTCTTCCTAGTCTACTGCCAACTCAGTTTGATGTTTTTTCACGACTTTTTCCTCTCAGATTATTTTGTTTGCACTCAAAGACCGTTTGTATAAACGGATAGAAAGCAGTTTTTCAGTACGAGATCCTCAAGGCTTGTTGTCATGGTTTTGGGGACGCGTTCGGAGGTAAGTGGCCATGCTGGTTAACGTTACCTGTTTTGAATGAGGACATTGTATTTTTCCATGTGCACAAGATAACCGCAATACTTTATATCTCATATCTGTTATTTCATACGTGCTTGTATGAAGTCGAAATTAATTATTTTTTTTCTGTAAGTCTTTACAACATATATAAACGTATTTTTTTTATCCTTTTAAATTGATATTGACTACAAATCTTCAAATACAATTCTATTGAATTTTCAGACATTTTAGAACATATTCAGGGAAGACGACTTCCGCCGCCATGAGATTTTGTTTTCTGTCATGTCTCCTTATGGTATGTTGTTATAATAAAGTTCCAAGAGTTATTCGCATGTATGTTGTATATAGGCTACACGTGAATATAGGATGGAGGGGTGAGGTAAAGGTTATACATTTTACACGTGAATATAGGATGGAGGGGTGAGGTAAAGATTATACATTTTACACGTGAATATATGAAAGAGGCTTGAGGTCGAAATTATACATTTTACAAGTGAATATGTTAAGAAGGGGTAAGTAGAAATTTTACATTTTACACGTGAAGATGTAAAGGAGGCGTAAGATAGAAATTATACATTTTACACGTGAATATGTTCGGGAGACATGAGGTAGCGGTTATGCAATTTACACGTGACTGGGATATTAAGTCCATGTGCGCAAACGAAGTAATGTGTTGTAATCGTAATTGTAAATAAAATAAGAATGTACAATTCCGTCCATTTAGATATGTATATACATGGTATATAAAAGTTTAAGTGTGTCACGAACTTATGATGTGATGGTGTGAATGATATACGAGCATTCATGCGTGAGTGAATGCTGATATTTATTGTAGTGTTCGTTTACGTGCCGTTGTCCAGGTAGGTGATCTATTTTAGCTAAATCACGTTTAAAACCGGTCCGTGTACCTATTTGACGAGTCGTTCTTCACACAACATAATCATAAGTTCGTGACAATATCATATAGATTCACTCCTATTATTATTGTGACTTAGAATAGATTTTAACTGGAAACACTATTAAAGTTGCCAATCATTACAACTGATAAATAAGCAAAAAGAAACGAAATTTCAATCTGAAATTTCAACTGCCATGAATTTACTTTATATGATATTACATTTAGCTTCTCGACACGCCAGCGTTAATGTAAATGGGTTGTCAAATGTATTCTTGATGTATTGATATAGTCGGAACCCATTACCAAACAGTTACTGAATCTGTTGGTCGTTTACAGTCTGAGAGGTAATCCAATATAGAGTACATTGTAGATAATTTTGTTGTTTACTGTCGTTTACAGTCTGAGAGGTAATCCAATATAGAGTACATTGTAGATAATTTTGTTGTTTACTGTCGTTTACAGTCTGAGAGGTAATCCAATATAGAGTACATTGTAGATAATTTTGTTGTTTACTGTCGTTTACAGTCTGAGAGGTAATCCAATATAGAGTACATTGTAGATAATTTTGTTGTTTACTGTCGTTTACAGTCTGAGAGGTAATCCAATATAGAGTACATTGTAGATAATTTTGTTGTTTACTGTCGTTTACAGTCTGAGAGGTAATCCAATATAGAGTACATTGTAGATAATTTTGTTGTTTACTGTCGTTTACAGTCTGAGAGGTAATCCAATATAGAGTACATTGTAGATAATTTTGTTGTTTATTGTCGTTTACAGTCTGAGAGGTAATCCAATATAGAGTACATTGTAGATAATTTTGTTGTTTACTGTCGTTTACAGTCTGAGAGGTAATCCAATATAGAGTACATTGTAGATAATTTTGTTGTTTACTGTCGTTTACAGTCTGAGAGGTAATCCAATATAGAGTACATTGTAGATAATTTTGTTGTTTACTGTCGTTTACAGTCTGAGAGGTAATCCAATATAGAGTACATTGTAGATAATTTTGTTGTTTACTGTCGTTTACAGTCTGAGAGGTAATCCAATATAGAGTACATTGTAGATAATTTTGTTGTTTACTGTCGTTTACAGTCTGAGAGGTAATCCAATATAGAGTACATTGTAGATAATTTTGTTGTTTATTGTCGTTTACAGTCTGAGAGGTAATCCAATATAGAGTACATTGTAGATAATTTTGTTGTTTACTGTCGTTTACAGTCTGAGAGGTAATCCAATATAGAGTACATTGTAGATAATTTTGTTGTTTACTGTCGTTTACAGTCTGAGAGGTAATCCAATATAGAGTACATTGTAGATAATTTTGTTGTTTACTGTCACTTACAGTCTGGGTGAAATTCAAATTCAGAGTACATTGTAAATAATTCTGTTGCACACTGTCGTTTAAAGTCTTGAAGATAATCCAATATAGAGTGCGTTGTAGATAATTGAGTTATTTCATGTTGTTTAAGATCTGGGACATTGCTATGTGGATAGCTGTTTTCCTACAACTTATCTCTCCTGGATATCTACAAGGTACCTTCCGCAAAGAACTCGGGCAAGAATACGATGACGATTACTTCATTGGTGTCTTAATCACTCTTTTAGTTCTAGAACTGGTTTACGTCATCCTCCATATCCTATCTGTTATCGTCGTCATCTTAAATAAGAACAAGTCTTTTTCTAAATATGTAAGTATTTTGTTATACAGTGCTATATAAAAGGATGAAAGAACTATATAATGTAGTATAATGTATTGTTTGGCAACACTGCATTTAACTCCAAACTTGTGATAATGTTCAGTGATCCATAGTGCCATATACAATATTATCACTATGTCTGAAAGTACTTCGTATTATTCATCCAATGTTATTTATCTTATCAACCTTTTAAAAGACATCACTGTATTTATTTGTTTCTTAAGACCTTAAACTCTACCACACCTCATGCCAAACGTCAGTACTTTACAACACACAATACCAAATACAAGTACACTACATCACGTCATACCAAACCCATGCAATCTTTCACAAACCATGCCGAATTCAAGCACTCTGCAACACCTCATACCAAACCCAAATGCTCTACCAAAACACTATCCCAAATTCAAGAACTCTACAACACGTCATACCAAACCTCAGTACTCTACAACACACAATCAAAAATCCAAGTACTCTACAACACATCATACCAAACCCAAGCGCTGTACAACACACCATGCCAAACTTCAGTACCCCACAACACGTCATTCCAAACCTAAGTACTCTACAACTCACCAAGCTAAATTCAAGAACTCTACAACACGTCGTACCGAACTTCGGTACTCTACAACCCAGCATGCCAAATTCAAGTACTCTACAACACGCCAAACCGAACCTCTGTACGCTACAACACGCCATATAAAACCTAAGCACTCAACAATACACCATGCCAAATTCAAGTACTCTACCAAACACCATACCGAACTCCAGTACTCTATAACACACCATGGAAAATTCAAGTTCTCTACAACATACCATGGCAAATTCAAGTATTCTACAACACGTCATATCAAATCCATGTACTCTAAAACACACCATGCCAAATTGAAGTACTCTACAATACGCCGTACAGAACCTCAGTACCGTACAACACGACATACCCAACCACACCATGCCAAACTTCACTAATCCACAACACATCGTGCCAAATCCAAGTCCTCTACAAAACGTCCTATCGAACCTCCGTACTCTACAACACACCATGCCAAATTCAAGTACTCTACAACACATCATACCAAATCCAAATGCTCTACAAAACACTATGCCAAATTGAAGATCTCTGCAACACATCATACCAAACCCAAATGCTCTACAAAACACTATGCCAAATTGAAGAACTCTGCTACACGTCATACCAAACCCAAATGCTCTACAAAACACTATGCCAAATTCAAGAACTCTACAACATGTCATACCAAACCTCAGTACTCTACAACACACAATCAAAAATTCAAGTACTCTACAACACATCATACCAAACCCAAGCACTGTACAACACACCATGCCAAACTTCAATACCCCACAACACGTCATTCCAAACCTCAGTACTCTACAACACACCATGCTAAATTTAAGAACTCCACAACACGTAGTACCGAACCTAAGCACTCAGTAACACACATTGCCAAACTTCACTACTTCACATCACATCATGCCAAACTTCAGTAATCTACAACACATCATGCCAAATTCAGGAACTCTACAACACATCATGTCAAATTCAGGAACTCTACAAATCATTATACCAAACGTAAGCATTCTACAACACACCTCATCTCGAATTCAAGTACTCTACAATTTGTCATATAGAACTTCAGTACACTACAACACACCATGCAAAATGCAAGTACTCGTTAACACGTCGTACCAAACTTCTGTACTCTACAACACGTCATATCAAACCTAAGTACTGAACAACACACCATGAAAAATTCAAGTATTTTACAATACACCATGCCAAACCCAAGCACTCTACAACACATCATACCAAACCCAAATGCTCTACAAAAAACTATGCCAAATTTTAGTACTCCACAACACGTCATAACCAACCCAAGTACATTACAGCACCTCATGCCTAATTCAAGTACTCTACAACACGTCATACCAGACCTAAGCACTCAACCACACACCATGTCAAATTCAAGTATTCTACCAAATATCATACCGAGCTTCAGTACTATATAACACACCATGGAAAATTCAAGTTCTCTACAACATACCATGCTAAATTGAAGTACTCTACAGCACGTCGGACGGAACCTCAGTACCGTACAACACGCCATACCCAACCTAAGCACTTAGCAACACATCATGCCAAACTTCAGTAATCTACAACACATCATGCCAAATTCAGGAACTCTACAAATCATTATACCAAACGTAAGCATTCTACAACACACCTCATCCCGAATTCATGTACTCTACAATTTGTCATACAGAACTTCAGTACACTAAAACACACCATGCAAAATGCAAGTACTCTTCAACACGTCGTACCAAACTTCTGTACTCTACAACTCACCATGCCGAATTCAAGTACTCTACAACACGTCATACCAAACCCAAATACATTACAAAACACCAAACCAAGCCCAAATACTCTACAACACACGATGCCAAATTTAAGAAGTCTACAACACGTCATACCAAACCTAAGCACTCTACAACACACCATGAAAAATTAAAGTATTCTACAATATACCATGCCAATCCCAAGCACTCTACAACACATCATACCAAACCTAACCTAAATGCTCTACAAAACACTATGAAAAACTTTAGTACTCCACAACACGTCATAACCAACCCAAGTACATTACAACACTTCATGCCTAATTCAAGTACTCTACAACACGTCATACCAGACCTAAGCACTCTACCACACACCATGTCAAATTCAAGTATTCTACAATACACCATGCCAAATTCAACTACTCTACCAAACACCATACCGAACTTCAGTACTCTATAACACACCACGGAAAATTCAAGTTCTCTATAACATCCCATGCCAAATTCAAGTATATTACAACACGTCATAACAAATTCATGTACTCTAAAACACACCATGCCAAATTGAAGTACTCTACAGCACGTCGTACATAACCTCATTACCGTACAACACGTCATACCCAACCACACCATACCAAACTTCACTACTCCACATCACATCATGCCAAACTTCACTACTCCACATCACATCATGCCAAACTTCACTACTCCACATCACATCATGCCAAACTTCACTACTCCACAACACATCATGCCAAACTTCACTACTCCACAACACATCATGCCAAACTTCACTACTCCACATCACATCATGCCAAACTTAACTACTCCACAACACATCATGCCAAACTTCACTACTCCACATCACATCATGCCAAACTTCACTACTCCACAACACATCATGCCAAACTTCACTACTCCACAACACATCATGCCAAATTCAGGAACTCTACAAATCATCATACCAAACCTAAGCACTCAACAACCCAGCATGCCGAATCCAAGTACTCTACAACACGTCATACCACGTGTGTTATGATGTTCTATACCTTGTTCTCATTTGAGAACGTGACATTACTTACTTTGATTGACCAAGGTTTACATGGCGGTTACCGTCGATGAATCAGAAGATGCTTATTCTTCAGGTACACTTGGTCATATTCTCCTTGTACATTTTCAGGATTCTCCAGTGTAAATATTCCATATGTTCCTTATTTGCCCTAGTTTGATTTAATTTCTGTTTGTATTGTGATGTTGGTAATTTTGATTGTACACTTTTATGATGATGATATACTTATCTTTCCTTATTTCAGGTGGTGTGGCTATTGTTAGCGTTTATACTTATCTCCGACATTGTGATGACAGGACTGGCATCTGATTGGCTCAACAAGGTATTCAAAATAAAATGTTTATCCAGAAATTTTTTATATGTTTTGTTATTTACTCAGCTATCATGTACTGTTACAAACTTTGCGAAGTTTAACAGTCTTGACTCATGCAGGGGGTTACGGCTGAAATGAAGTCGTGAACTGACTACAAGTGTTCCACTTCATGTTGACTGGAACACGTCGAAAATAGAAAAGAAATTGATATAAAGTTGGAAAAAAATGGACTTTTGAAACAGATGATAATATTATATAAAAATACGTTAACTGTCCTGTTTTCTGATGTGTCAGTATGTTAACTGTCCTGTTGTTATCAACTACAATTGTTAACTGTCATTTTGTTGTGAACTCTCAGTATGTTAACTTTCCTGTTGTGGTAAACTTTCAGTATGTTAACTGTCCTGTTGTAGTAAACAGTGAATATGTTAACTGTCCTGTTGTAGTCAACTATCAGTATGTTAACTCTCCTGTTGCAGTTAACTTTAAGTATGTTAACTGTCCTGTTGTTTTAATGTATGTTAACTGTCCTGTTGTTTATAATTTGTTTTTCGCTTTTTCAGTCCTGTTGTAATAAAATTAACTGTCAGTATGTTAACTGTCCTGTTGTAGTTAACTGTCAGTATGTTAACTTTCCTCTTGTTGTAAACTGTCATTATGTTAACTGTCCTGTTGTTGGAAACTATTAGTATGTTCATTGTCCTATTATTGTAAACTGTCAGTTTGTGAATTGTCCTGTTCTGGTAAACTATCAGTATGTTAACTGTCCTGTTGTTGTAAACTGTCAGTATGTTAACTGTCCTGTTGTAATTAACTATCAGTATGTTAACTGTCCTGTTGTTGTTATCTATCAGTTTGTTAACCGTCCTGATGTGGTAAACTATCAGTATGTTAACTGTCCTGTTGTGGTAAACTATCAGTATGTTAACTGTCCTGTTGTTGTAAACTATCAGTATGTTAACTGTCCTGTTGTTGTATGCTGTCAGCATGTTAACTGTCCTGTTGTAATTAACTATCAGTATGTTAACTGTCATGTTGTTGTATACTATCGGTATGTTAACTGTCCTTTTGTTGTGAACTATCAGTATGTTAACTGTCCTGTTGTTGTAAACTATTAGTATGTTAACCGTCCTATTGTTGTAAACTATCAATATGTTAACTGTCCTGTTGTTGTAAACTGTCAGTATGTAAATTGTCCTGTTGTGGTGAACTATCAGTATGTTAACTGTCCTCTTGTATGTTAACTATCCTGTTGTTGTAAACTATCAATATATTAACTGTCCTATTGTTGTATACTATCAGTATGTTAACTGTCCTGTTGTTGTAAACTATCAGTATGTTAACTGTCCTGTTGTTGTAAACTCTCAGTATGTTAACTGTCCTGTTGTAGTTAACTATCAGTATGTTAACTGTCCTGTTGTAGTTAACTATCAGTATGTTAACTGTCCTGTTGTAGTAAACTATCAGTATGTTAACTGTCCTGTTGTGGTAAACTATCAGTATGTTAACTGTCCTGTTGTTGTAAACTATCAGTATGTTAACTGTCCTGTTGTGGTAAACTATCAGTATGATACCTGTCCTTTTGTGGTAAAATATCAGTATGTTAACTGTCCTGTTGTAATTTACTGTCAGTATTTGAAATGTCCTGTTTTAGTTAACTTTTATTGTGTTAACTGTCCTGTTGTGGTAAACTATCAGTATGTTAACTGTCCTTTTGTGGTAAACTATCAGTATATTAACTGTCCTTTTGTGGTAAACTATCAGTATGTTAAATGTCCTGTTGTTGTAGTGAACTGTCAGTATGTTAACTGTCCTGTTGTAATAAACTATCAGTATGTTAACTGTCCTGTTGTTGAAAACTGTCAGTATGTTAACTGTCCTGTTGTTGTAAACTATCAGTATGTCAACTGTCCTGTTGTTGAAAACTGTCAGTATGTTAAGTGTCCTGTTGTTGTTAACTATCAGTATGTCAACTGTCCTGTTGTAGTTAAACTGGTATGTTAACTGTCCTCTTGTTGTTAACTGTCAGTATGTGAATTGTCCTGTTGTTGTAAACTATTAGTATGTTAACTGTCCTATTGTTGTAAACTGTCAGTTTGTGAATTGTCCTGTTCTGGTAAACTATCAGTATGTTAACTGTCCTGTTGTTGTAAACCGTCAGTATATTAACTGTCCTGTCGTTGAAAACTATCAATAAGTTATCTGTCCTGTTGTGGTAAACTGTCAGTATGTTAACTGTCCTGTTGTTGTAAACTATCAATATGTTAACTGTCCTGTTGTTGTATACTGTCAGCATGTTAACTGTCCTGTTGTAATTAATATCAGTATGTTAACTGTCCTGTTGTTGTTAACTATCAGTATGTTAACTGTCCTTTTTGTTGTGACCTATCAGTATGTTAACTGTCCTGTTGTGGTAAACTATCAGTATGTTAACTGTCCTGTTGTTGTGAACTATCAGTATGTTAACTGTCCTGTTGTGGTAAACTATCAGTATGTTAACTGTCCTGTTGTTGTTAACTATCAGTATGTTAACCGTCCTGTTGTATTTAACTATCAGTATGTTAACTGTCCTGTTGTTGTAAACTATCAGTATGTTAACTGTCCTGTTGTTGTAAACTATCAGTATGTTAATTGTACTGTTGTTTAAACTGTCAGCATGTTAACTGTCCTGTTGTTGTAAACTATCAGTATGTTAATTGTACTGTTGTTTAAACTATCAGTATGTTAACTGTCCTGTTTAAGTTAACTGTCAGTATGTTAACTGTCCTGTTTTAGTTAACTGTCAGTATGTTAACTGTCCTGTTTGAGTGAACTGTCAGTATGTTAACTGTCCTGGTTTAATTAACTGTCAGTATGTTAACTGTCCTGTTGTTGTAAACTGTCATTATGTTAACTGTCCTGTTGTTGTAAAACTATCCTGTTGTTGGAGTATGTTAACTGTCCTTTTGTGGTAAACTATCAGTATGTTAACTGTCCTGTTGTTGTTAACTGTCAGTATGTTAACTGTCCTGTTTAAGTTAACTGTCAGTATGTTAACTGTCCTGTTTGAGTGAACTGTCAGTATGTTAACTGTCCTGTTGTTGTAAACTGTCAGTATGTTAACTGTCCTGTTTGATGTAATCAAACAGTATGTTAACTGTCCTGTTGTTGTAAACTATCAGTATGTTAACTGTCCTGTTGTTGTAAACTGTCAGTATGTTAACTGTCCTGTTGTTGTATACTATCAGTATATTAACTGTCCCGTTGTTTTATACTATCAGTATGTTAACTGTCCTGTTCTTGTAAACTATCAGTATGTTAACTGTCCTGTTGTAGTTAACTTTCAGTATGTTAACTGTCCTGTTGTAGTATGTTAACTGTCGTGTTGTAATTAACTATCAGTATGTTAACTGTCCTGTTGTTGTTATCTATCAGTATGTTAACTGTCCTTTTGTTGTGAACTATCAGTATGTTAACTGTCCTGTTGTTGTGAACTATCAGTATGTTAACTGGCCTGTTGTTGTTAACTTTCAGTATGTTAACTGTGCTGTTGTTGTAAACTATCAATATGTTAATTGTCCTATTGTTGTATACTATCAGTATGTTAACTGTCCTGTTGTTGTTAACTATCAGTATGTTAACTGTCCTGTTATTGTTAACTATCAGTATGTTAACTGTCCTGTTGTTGTAAACTATCAGTATGTTAACTGTCCCGTTGTTGTTAACTATCAGTATGTTAACTGTCCTCTTGTTGTAAACTGTCAGTATGTTAACTGTCCTGTTGTTGTAAACTGTCAGTATGTGAACTGTCCTGTTGTTGTAAACTATTCGTATGTTAACTGTCCTGTTGTTGTAAACTGTCAGTTTGTTAACTGTCCTGTTGCTGTATACTATCAGTATGTTAACTGGCCTTGTTGTCCTGTTAATTTCTATCACTATGTTCACTGTCCTGTTGCTGTATACTCTCAGTATGTTAACTGTCCTGTTGTAGTTAACTATCAGTATGTTAACTGTCCTGTTGTTGTTAACTATCAGTATGTTAACTGTCCTGTTGTAGTTAACTTTCAGTATGTTAACTGTCCTGTTGTTGTAAACTATCAGTATGTTAACTGTCCTGTTGTTGTAAACTATCAGTATGTTAACTGTCCTGTTGTTGTTAACTATCAGTATGTTAACTGTCCTGTTGTAGTTAACTTTCAGTATGTTAACTGTCCTGTTGTTGTAAACTATCAGTATGTTAACTGTCCTGTCGTTGAAAACTATCAATAAGTTATCTGTCCTGTTGTGGTAAACTGTCAGTATGTTAACTGTCCTGTTTGATGTAATCAAACAATATGTTAACTGTCCTGTTGTTGTAAACTATCATTATGTTAACTGTCCTGTTGTAGTTAACTGTCAGTATGTTAACTGTCCTGTTGTTGTATACTATCAGTATATTAACTGTCCCGTTGTTTTATACTATCAGTATGTTAACTGTCCTTTTGTGGTAAACTATCAGTATGTTAACTGTCCTGTTGTTGTTAACTGTCAGTATGTTAACTGTCCTGTTGTAGTTAACTGTCAGTATGTTAACTGTCCTGTTGTAGTTAACTATCAGTATGTTAACTGTCCTGTTGTAGTTAACAGTGAATATGTTAACTGTCCTGTTTAAGTTAACTATCAGTATGTTAACTGTCCTGTTGTAGTTAACTTTCAGTATGTTAACTGTCCTGTTGTTGTAAACTATCATTATGTTAACTGTCCTGTTGTAGTTAACTGTCAGTATGTTAACTTTCCTCTTGTTGTAAACTGTCATTATGTTAACTGTCCTGTTGTTGGAAAACTGTCTATCAGTATGTTAACTGTCCTGTTGTTGTTAACTATCAGTATGTTAACTGTCCTGTTTGAGTGAATTGTCAGTATGTTAACTGTCTTGGTTTAGTTAACTGTCAGTATGTTAACTGTCCTGGTTTAGTTAACTGTCAGTATGTTAACTGTCCTGTTGTTGTTAACTGTCAGTATGTTAACTGTCCTGTTGTTGTAAACTATCAGTATGTTAACTGTCCTGTTGTTGTATACTATCAGTATGTTAACTGTCCTTTTTGTTGTGACCTATCAGTATGTTAATTGTCCTGTTGTAGTTAACAGTGAATATGTTAACTGTCCTGTTGTTGTTAACTATCAGTATGTTAACTGTCCTGTTGTAGTTAACTTTCAGTATGTTAACTGTCCTGTTGTTGTAAACTATCAATATGTTAACTGTCCTGTTGTTGTATACTATCAGTATGTTAACTGTCCTGTTTGAGTGAACTATCAGTATGTTAACTGTCCTGGTTTAGTTAACTGTCAGTATGTTAACTGTCCTGTTGTAGTTAACTGTCAGTATGTTAACTGTCCTGTTGTTGTAAACTATCATTATGTTAACTGTCCTGTTGTAGTTAACTGTGAACTATCAGTATGTTAACTGTCCTGTTCTTATGAACTATCAGTATGTTAACTGTCCTGTTGTAGTTAACTTTCAGTATGTTAACTGTCCTGTTGTTGTAAACTATCAGTATGTTAACTGTCCTGTTGTTGTAAACTGTCAGCATGTTAACTGTCCTGTTGTTGTTAACTATCAGTATGTTAACTGTCCTGTTGTTGTAAACTCTCAGTATGTTAACTGTCCTGTTGTAGTTAATTATCAGTATGTTAAGTCTCCTGTTGTTGTAAACTATCAGTATGTTAACTGGCCTGTTGTTGTTAACTTTCAGTATGTTAACTGTCCTGTTGTTGTAAACTATCAGTATGTTAACTGTCCTGTTGTTGTAAACTATCAGTATGTTAACTGTCCTGTTGTTGTTAACTTTCAGTATGTTAACTGTCCTGTTGTTGTAAACTATCAATATGTTAACTGTCCTATTGTTGTATACTATCGGTATGTTAACTGTCCTTTTGTTGTGAACTATTAGTATGTTAACTGTTCTGTTGTTGTGAACTATTAGTATGTTAACTGTCCTGTTGTAGTAAACTATCAGTATGTTAACTCTCCTGTTGTAGTAAAATATCAGTATGTTAACTGTCCTGTTGTAATTAACTATCAGTATGTTAACTGTCCTGTTGTTGTTAACTATCAGTATGTTAACTGTCCTGTTGTTGTAACTTTCAGTATGTTAACTGTCCTGTTGTTGTAAACTATCAGTATGTTAACTGTCCTGTTGTTGTAAACTATCAGTATGTTAACTGTCCTGTTGTTGTTAACTATCAGTATGTTAACTGTCCTTTTTGTTGTGACCTATCAGTATGTTAACTGGCCTGTTGTTGTTAACTTTCAGTATGTTAACTGTCCTGTTGTAGTTGACAGTGAATATGTTAACTGTCCTGTTTAAGTTAACTGTCAGTATGTTAAATGTCCTGTTTAAGTTAACTGTCAGTATGTTAACTGTCCTGTTTGAGTGAACTGTCAGTATGTTAACTGTCCTGGTTTAGTTAACTGTCAGTATGTTAACTGTCCTGTTGTAGTTAACTGTCAGTATGTTAACTGTCCTGTTGTAGTTAACTATCAGTATGTTAACTGTCCTGTTGTAGTTAACTATCAGTATGTTAACTGTCCTGTTGTTGTTAACTGTCAGTATGTTAACTGTCCTGTTTAAGTTAACTGTCAGTATGTTAACTGTCCTGTTTGAGTGAACTGTCAGTATGTTAACTGTCCTGGTTTAGTTAACTGTCAGTATGTTAACTGTCCTGTTGTAGTTAACTGTCAGTATGTTAACTGTCCTGTTGTTGTATACTATCAGTATGTTAACTGTCCTGTTGTTGTAAACTGTCAGTATGTTAACTGACCTGTTTGATGTAATCAAACAGTATGTTAACTGTCCTGTTGTTGTAAACTATCAGTATGTTAACTGTCCTGTTGTGGTAAACTATCAGTATGTTAACTGTCCTGTTGTTGTGAACTATCAGTATGTTAACTGGCCTGTTGTTGTTAACTTTCAGTATGTTAACTGTCCTGTTGTTGTAAACTATCAATATGTTAACTGTCCTGTTGTTGTAAACTATCAGTATGTTAACTGTCCTGTTGTTGTAAACTATCAGTATGTTAACTGTCCTGTTGTAGTTAACTATCAGTATGTTAACTGTCCTGTTGTTGTAAACTGTCAGTATGTTAACTGTCCTCTTGTTGTAAACTCTCAGTATGTTAACTGTCCTGTTGTTGTAAACTATCAGTATGTTAACTGTCCTGTTGTTGTAAACTATCAATATGTTAACTGTCCTATTGTTGTATACTATCAGTATGTTAACTGTCCTGTTGTTGTATACTATCAGTATGTTAACTGTCCTGTTGTTGTAAACTGTCAGTATGTTAACTGTCCTGTGTTAACTGTCCTGTTGTTGTAAACTCAGTATTGTCTGTCCTGTTGTTGTTAATTTTAACTGTTCTGTTATGGTAAACTGTCAGTATGTTAACTGGCCTGTTGTTGTTAACTTTCAGTATGTTAACTGTCCTGTTGTTGTAAACTATCAGTATGTTAACTGTCCTGTTGTTGTAAACTATCAGTATGTTAACTGTCCTGTTGTTGTAAACTGTCAGTATGTTAACTGTCCTGTTGTTGTAAACTATCAGTATGTTAACTGTCCTGTTGTTGTAAACTATCAGTATGTTAACTGTCCTGTTGTTGTATACTATCGGTATGTTAACTGTCCTTTTGTTGAGAACTATTAGTATGTTAACTGTCCTGTTGTTGTAAACTATCAGTATGTTAACTGTCCTGTTGTGGTAAACTGTCAGTATGTTAACTGTCCTGTTGTTGTAAACTATCAGTATGTTAACTGTCCTGTTGTGGTAAACTATCAGTATGTTAACTGTCCTGTTGTTGTGAACTATCAGTATATTAACTGTCCAGTCGTTGAAAACTATGAATAAGTTATCTGTCCTGTTGTGGTAAACTGTATACTATCAGTATGTTAACTGTCCTGTTGTTTTATACTATCGGTATGTTAACTGTCCTGTTGTTGTTAACTATCAGTATGTTAACTGTCCTGTTGTAGTTAACTTTCAGTATGTTAACTGTCCTGTTGACTGGCCTGTTGTTGTTAACTTTCAGTATGTTAACTGTCCTGTTGTAGTTAACTGTCAGTATGTTAACTGTCCTGTTGTAGTTAACTGTCAGTATGTTAACTGTCCTGTTGTAGTTAACTATCAGTATGTTAACTGTCCTGTTGTAGTTAACTGTCAGTATGTTAACTGTCCTGTTGTAGTTAACTGTCAGTATGTTAACTGTCCTGTTGTAGTTAACTGTCAGTATGTTAACTGTCCTGTTGTAGTTAACTGTCAGTATGTTAACTGTCCTGTTGTTTTATACTATCAGTATGTTAACTGTCCTGTTCTTGTGAACTATCAGTATGTTAACTGTCCTGTTGTAGTTAACTGTCAGTATGTTAACTGTCCTGTTGTTGTAAACTGTCAGTATGTTAACTGTCCTGTTGTTTTAAACTATCGGTATGTTAACTGTCCTGTTGTTGTTAACTATCAGTATGTTAACTGTCCTGTTGTTGTTATCTATCAGTTTGTTAACTGTCCTGTTGTAGTTAACTATCAGTATGTTAACTGTCCTGTTGTAGTAAACTATCAGTATGTTAACTGTCCTGGTTTAGTTAACTTTCAGTATGTTAACTGTCCTATTGTTGTATACTATCAGTATGTTAACTGTCCTGTTGTTGTAAACTATCAGTATGTTAACTGTCCTGTTGTGGTAAACTATCAGTATGTTAACTGTCCTGTTGTTGTTAACTATCAGTATGTTAACTGTCCTTTTGTTAACTGTAAACTGTATGTTAACTGTCTGTTTGTATATTAACTGTCCTGTAGTTGAAAACTATCAATAAGATATCTGTCCTGTTGTGGTAAACTATCAGTATGTTAACTGTCCTGTTGTGGTAAACTATCAGTATGTTAACTGTCCTGTTGTTGTGAACTATCAGTATGTTAACTGTCCTGTTGTTGTAAACTATCAGTATGTTAACTGTCCTGTTTAAGTTAACTGTCAGTATGTTAACTGTTCTGTTGTTTAAACTGTCAGCATGTTAACTGTCCTGTTGTAATTAACTATCAGTATGTTAACTGTCCTGTTGTTGTAAACTGTCAGTATGTTAACTGTCCTGTTGTTGTAAACTATCAGTATATTAACTGTCCTGTCGTTGAAAACTATCAATAAGTTATCTGTCCTGTTGTGGTAAACTGTCAGTATGTTAACTGTCCTGTTTGATGTAATCAAACAGTATGTTAACTGTCCTGTTGTTGTAAACTATCAGTATGTTAACTGTCCTGTTGTGGTAAACTATCAGTATGTTAACTGTCCTGTTGTAATTAACTATCTGTATGTTAACTGTCCTGTTGTCGTTATCTATCAGTTTGTTAACTGTCCTGATGTGGTAAACTATCAGTATGTTAACTGTCCTGTTCTGGTAAACTATCAGTATGTTAACTGTCCTGTTGTAGTTAACTGTCAGTATGTTAACTGTCCTGTTGTAGTTAATAGTGAATATGTTAACTGTCCTGTTTAAGTTAACTGTCAGTATGTTAACTGTCCTGTTTTAGTTAACTGTCAGTATGTTAACTGTCCTGTTGTAGTTAACTGTCAGTATGTTAACTGTCCTGTTGTAGTTAACTGTCAGTATGTTAACTGTCCTGTTGTAGTTAACTATCAGTATGTTAACTGTCCTGTTGTAGTTAACAGTATGTTAACTGTCCTGTTGTAGTTAACTGTCAGTATGTTAACTGTCCTGTTTGAGTGAACTATCAGTATGTTAACTGTCCTGGTTTAGTTAACTGTCAGTATGTTAACTGTCCTGTTGTAGTTAACTGTCAGTATGTTAACTCTCCTCTTGTTCTAAACTGTCTTTATGTTAACTGTCCTGTTGTTGTAAATTGTCAGTATGTTAACTGTCCTGTTGTTGTATACTATCAGTATATTAACTGTCCCGTTGTTTTATACTATCAGTATGTTAACTGTCCTGTTGTTGTAAACTATCAGTATGTTAACTGTCCTGTTGTGGTAAACTGTCAGTATGTTAACTGTCCTGTTTGATGTAATAAAACAGTATGTTAACTGTCCTGTTGTTGTAAACTATAAGTATGTTAACTGTCCTGTTGTTGTGAACTATCAGTATGTTAACTTTCAGTATGTTAACTGTCCTGTTGTTGTAAACTATCAATATGTTAACTGTCCTGTTGTTGTAAACTATCAGTATGTTAACTGTCCTGTTGTTGTTATCTATCAGTTTCTTAACCGTCCTAATGTGGTAAATTATCAGTATTTTAACTGTCTTGTTGTGGTAAACTAACATTATGTTAACTGTCCTGTTGTCGTATACTATTGGTATATTAACTGTCCTTTTGTTGTGAACTATTAGTATGTTAACTGTCCTGTTGTTGTAAACTGTAATTATGTTAACTGTCCTGTTGTTTAACTATAAACTGTCCTGTTGTATCAGTATGTTAACTGTCCTTGTAAGTTGTAGTGTAACTGTCAGTTGTGTATGTTAACTGTCCTGTTGTTGTTATCTATCAGTTTGTTAACTGTCCTTTTGTTGTGAACTATTAGTATGTTAGCTGTTCTGTTGTTGTGAACTATTTGTATGTTAACTGTCCTGTTGTAGTTAACTATCAGTATGTTTGTTAACTGTCCTGTTGTAGTAAACTATCAGTATGTTAACTCTTCTGTTGTAATTAACTATCAGTATGTTAACTGTCCTGTTGTTGTAACTATTATGTTAACTGTCTATTGTTGTAAACTGTCAGTAACTGTCCTGTTGTTGTAAACTATCAGTATGTTAACTGTCCTGTTGTTGTAAACTATCAGTATGTTAACTGTCCTGTTGTGGTAAACTATCAGTATGTTAACTGTCCTGTTGTTGTAAACTATCAGTATGTTAACTGTCCTGTTGTTGTGAACTATCAGTATGTTAACTGGCCTGTTGTTGTTAACTTTCAGTATGTTAACTGTCCTGTTGTTGTAAACTATCAATTCCATTCTGACAATATCCTAAAACGACATAAGGCTGATCTTAACAAGTTTCCGCAGTACTCACTCGTGAATCTTGGTTGTACACAATTGAGGTAACAACCAAAAACTGGAGATTTTATTGCTATTTACGAAGAACAGTGAACTGATGATGGCATCAAATCATCTATGACGTCATAACTTGTCGCCCAATCTTTCATTCATGACATTATTTATGACATTACTGCTCGGCCACGTTTTCATGATGGCTTCATCTAAACAGCAGTGTTGAGAAATTATTTACTTTAAACAATTCAACTATATGAAAAGTTAAAAATGTTCAACATAAGCAGAGAATTGTGAGGACATTTGAACTAATTTGATTGGTTGAAGACAGGCATCATTACATTTTTGGACGCCCCTTGTGTAATACAAACTCGAGATATGATTGTGGTACCGCCTTGTATTTAAAATCGGGATGTGATTATGGCGCCGCCTTGTGTTATTTAAAATCGGGATGTGATTATGGCACGGAGTGGAATGTTTGATGTGTTATGTTTCATGTATTGTTGAAAATAAAAAAATTATACAAAAAAAAAAAAAAAAGATTATGGCGCCGCCTTGTGATTTTTTGCGCGGATTCTGAATTTTCAATATATATTGCAGGTTAACTAGATCACTAGTTCAATGTCAGTGAGTGGGGTAGGGGGTCCAATACATACAACAGTACAACAGAACAATAGAAGGATGCGGTAGTATGGGGGTGCGGAGGATGCGGTAGTGTGGGGGTGCGGATGATGCGGTAGTGTGGGGGTGCGGAGGATGCGGTAGTGTGGGGGTGCGGAGGATGCGGTAGTGTGGGGGTGCGGAGGATGCTGTAGTGTGGGGATGCGGAAAATGCTGTAGTGTAGTGTGGGGATACGGAGGATGCGGTAGTGTGGGGATGCGGAGGATGCGGTAGTGTGGGGGTGCGGAGAATGCGGTAGTGTAGTGTGAGGATACGGAGGATGCGGTAGTGTGGGGAAATGGAGGATGCGGAGGATGTGGAGGATACGGTAGTGTTAGGGTGCGGAGGATGCGGTAGTGTGGGGGTGCGGAGGATGCAGTGGGTACGGAGGATGCGGTAGTGTGGGGGTGCGGAGGGTGTGGAGGATGCTGTAGTGTGGGGATGCAGAGGATGCGGTAGTGTGGGGATGCGGAGGATGCAGTGGGTACGAAGGATGCGGTAGTGTGAGGGTGCGGAGGATGCGGTAGTGTGGGGATGCGGAGAATGCTGTAGTGTATTGTGGGGATACGGAGGATGCGGTAGTGTGGGGATGCGGAGGATGCGGTACTGTGGGGGTGCGGAGGATGCGGAAGTGTAGTGTGAGGATACGGAGGGTGCGGTAGTGTGGGGAAATGGAGGATGCGGAGGGTGTGGAGGATACGGTAGTGTTAGGGTGCGGAGGATGCGGTAGTGTGGGGGTGCGGAGGATTCAGTGGGTACGGAGGATGCGGTAGTGTGGGGGTGCGGAGGATGCGATAGTGTGGGGATGCGGAGGATGCGGTAGCGTGGGGGTGCGGAGGATGCGGTAATGTGAGGGTGCGGAGGATGCGGTAGTGTAGTATGAGGATACGGAGGATGCGGTAGTGTGGGGAAATGGAGGATGCGGAGGGTGTGGAGGATGCTGTAGTGTAGGGGTGCGGAGGATGCGGTAGTGTGGGGGTGCGGAGGATGCGGTAGTGTTGGGATGCGGAGGATGTAGTGGGTACGGAGGATGCGGTAGTGTGAGGGTGTGGAGGATGCGGTAGTGTGGGGATGCGGAGAATGCTGTAGTGTAGTGTGAGGATACGGAGGATGCGGTAGTGTGGGGATGCGGAGGACGCGGTAGTGTGGGGGTGCGGAGGATGCGGTGGTGTAGTGTGAGGATACGGAGGGTGCGGTAGTGTGGGGAAATGGAGGATGCGGAGGGTGTGAAGGATACGGTAGTGTGGGGGTGCGGAGAATGCAGTGGGTTCGGAGGATGCGGTAGTTTTAGGGGTGCGGGGAATGCGAAGGGTGTGGAGGATGCTGTAGTGTGGGGATGCGGAGGATGTAGTGGGTACGAAATATGCTGTAGTGTTAGGGTGCGGAGGATGCCGTAATGTGGGGATGCGGAGAATGCTGTAGTGTAGTGTGGGGATCCGGAGGATGCGGTAGTGTGGGGATGCGAAGGATGCGGTAGTGTGGGGGTGCGGAGGATGCGGTGGTGTAGTGTAAGGATACGGAGGATGCGGTAGTGTGGGGAAATGGAGGATGCGGAGGGTGTGAAGGATACGGTAGTGTGGGGGTGCGGAGAATGCGGTGGGTACGGAGGATGCGGTAGTTTTAGGGATGCGGGGGATGCGAAGGGTGTGGAGGATGCTGTAGTGTGGGGATGCGGAGGATGTAGTGGGTACGAAAGATGCTGTAGTGTTAGGGTGCGGAGGATGCCGTAATGTGGGGATGCGGAGAATGCTGTAGTGTAGTGTGGGGATCCGGAGGATGCGGTAGTGTGGGGATGCGGAGGATGCGGTAGTGTGGGGGTGCGGAGGATGTGGAAGTGTAGTGTGAGGATACGGAGGATGCGGTAGTGTGGGGAAATGGAGGATGCGGAGGGTGTGGAGGATACGGTAGTGTTAGGGTGCGGAGGATGCGGTAGTATGGGGGTGCGGATGATTCAGTGGGTATGGAGGATGCGGTAGTGTGGGGGTGCGGAGGATGCGGTAGTGTGGGGGTGCGGAGGATGCGGAGGGTGTGGAGGATGCTGTAGTGTGGGGGTGCGGAGGATGCGGTAGTTTGGGGGTGCGGAGGATGCGGTAGTATGGGGGTGCGGAGGATGCGGTAGTGTGGGGGTGCGGAAGATGCGGTAGTTTGGGGGTGCGGAGGATGCGGTAGTATGGGGGTGCGGGGGATGCGGTAGTGTAGGGGTGCGGAGGATGCGGTAGTGTGGGGGGTGCGGAGGATGCTGTAGTGTGGGGTGCGGAGGATGCGGTATTGTGGGGGTGCGGAGGATGCGGTAATGTGGGGATGCGGAGGATGCAGGGGGTACGGAGGATGCGGTAGTGTGAGGGTGTGGAGGTTGCGGTAGTGTGGGGATGCGGAGAATGCTGTAGTGTAGTGTGGGGATACGGTGGATGCGGTAGTGTGGGGATGCGGAGGATGCGGTAGTGTGGGGGTGCGGAGGATGCGGTGGTGTAGTGTGAGGATACGGAGGATGCGGTAGTGTGGTGAAATGGAGGATGCGGAGGGTGTGGAGGATACGGTAGTGTGGGGGTGCGGAGGATGCAATGGGTACGGAGGATGCTGTAGTGTAGTGTGAGGATACGGAAGATACGGTAGTGTTGGGGTGCGGAGGATGCAGTGGGCGAGGATGATGCGGTAGTATGGGGATGAGGGGTGCAGAGGATGCGGTAGTGTGGGGTGCGAAGGATGCAGTAGTGTGGGGGTGCAGTAGTGTGGGTATGTGGTAGTGTGTTGGTGTGGGGTTACGGAGTTGTGGAGGATGTGGGGGGGGGGTGCAAAGGATTCGGTAGTGTTGGGGTGCGATAGTGTAGGAGTGCGGTAGTGTAGGGGTGCGGTAGTGAGGGGTGCGGAGGATGCGGTAGTGTAGGGGTGCGGGTGTGAGGTAGTGTGGGGATGCGGGGTGCGGTAGTATGGGGGTTATAGCCTCAATAGATTGTTTTCTGGCACTGTTCATATAGTGCACGGTAGGGACCTTTGAAAATAATGCGAAACTTTATCGTGTACGTTAAGATTTCGCCTTTATAATCCAATGAGCCTTATATAACTACGCACAAGATCACATTACAAACTCAAACAAAATTTAATAAAGATGTGCAAAATTTTGACATCGGTAGATGGTCTGTTCAAAAAGAGCATTATAACCGTCAAGCGACCAAGCACACACGCTAGCACATTTGAAGTGAAACACCTATACTACCTGGGGCGCCGTTTTGCTTTATTCGCTATTTTCTGGTATGAAATTCATACAAAACAATCAGCCCCGCTATCTCTGCTATCAAAACAATTTCGAAAATCAACAGCCACCAATCTTACCATCTATTCCCTTTGTATATAAAAAAAATATTTCTTGATTCAGAAAAAAAAACATAGATATTTTCTTTTTTCTGATATCAAACATTCGCTTGGTTGACGTCAAGACATCGGGTCGATTTTCTGATATGAAAATATCAAAGAAAGGAAAACATTATCGTCGTCCCATCGTGTAATAATGGTTGTATAGGTCTCCTGATCATAAATTTTCTGATATAAAAAAAATCGATGTTTTGATATAAGAAAATAAGACATATTTTTTCTGATATTACACTATGTTTGATGTCATCAGAAATGCTTGATATCAAAATGCACATTTGAAGTTATCAGAAAGTAGAATTCTTGATATCAAAACTCCGATTTTTTCAATTTTAAATATTTTTTGATATCTCACAAAAGTACATAATATTAAAACGGCGTCTTGGAATTCTGTGATTAATCAATTTACAACTACTTACCATATTGTTCTGTCCAGGTTAGGGCAGGTTAGGGACTTTTCTGTTTTGTACTGGAAGCTCGCGTGTGAAAAAGTAGTCCATAACTTATCTACCTACGTACTATTCACATTATTAAAATTTATTTTTTATGTTAATCACATGGTTGTCTTTGCAAGTCTCGTGTTATTTCAGACACAAGTTCTTCAATTTAAAGGACTGACCAGATGATAGTTGTATAATGTATTATAAGAAAGTTTACTGTCATTACTGAAATGCATTTCTGGGCGTTGATGTACCACACACACTACAGCAGTATGAGTATTTAGCAACTGGCCGAAACCGTAGTTGACGATTAAGCTTTTTTTTTGTTTAGTTTTTTTAGCTTGTTTATTTTTTCCTTACTATTATCATCATCATTTTGCAATTAGCATTCATTTTCTGTCAAATGCCTTTCATCGGAAACCACCGTTTTATTCCACACAATCCGTCGTTTATACTCCTAATAATGAAGGACATTTTGAACAGTTCCTGGATGGACTTTTTGTGGCAGATTTGTCTTGATCGGTCTGATTGCGGAATGAGTTTATCACTATGGAAAATTAATTACCTTCCTTCCTTAAATGATCAACTGGTTCACTCCCTCACGATCCCAACGCAGTCTTAAAACACTCCTGCATGACGTCATCGCTAGCAGAGAAATACGAGTTATCTCGCTTCCAACCAACAAAGCCATTCGTATTGATACCGCAGTTAAAACACATAATAAAAAAAATAGGTTTTTGTGTATGTGTATATATAGAGTAACACGGATGATATTCATATCAAATGGTGATTGATGTTCTCCCGTACAACATATCATGTACACATGCTTTATGTATATATGTACATATATATACATATTCATTGCGTCAAAATGAAAGTAAAACAGTTAGTACGTAGCTCTTCTCTTCCGAATTCCTTGGACTTTGTCATTAGGAAAACAAGGTTCTAAATCAGCTATACAAACGAACGGAAAACGAAAGTTCAGGAGATGGCATTCACTCATAATTTGTCTGTGTGTATTCTCGGACTGTTGGTGTTTTCTGCCGAACTCGTTCATTCTGTTGGTAGGAGTGATTACATCGCTCGGTTCTTTGTTCCAGGTAGTTCTTGGATGGTAAGCACAGCGTACATATCCTGAACATCAACTCCCAATGTCTATCTCTCATTGATTTATTTTCTTCTGTTTTGTGTGTGTACATGTGTGTTCTAGTTAAATGCACTGATGTAGTCATGTAATAAAAAAATCACTCCGAATATGTCAAATTTCGCATCTGTAAATAAACAGTGTGGTAAATTGATAGCGCACAATGTATTACGAATTTAAAAAAAAGGTCGGAAAAGTCTTCGGTTTTGGACGTTCTTCCGATGTCAAAAATGTTTGATTACTTGATATACGTGCTCTCTCTCTATATATATATCAATTGTACCACTTGAACAAAATACATCAAGAAGAGTTACTTCCCTTTGTACAGTTTGGCTTATTATTTGATTCTCATACTGCCGAGTATCTATCTTTTATCATCCCCTAAATAGGCAATGGATCGCACACACTCATAAACACTAGCAGGCCAACCCTGTTTCTTTTATTTGATAGGCCTACCCCAACAAAATAATATAAAATGCACACTTACCTCAAAAATAGATAGATAGATGTTTTCTTAAATTAGTCTTCAGGCATGGAAAAAAACATGAGTTTGAAATTATTACGATACAGATACTTTAACAATTTTTTTATACTGTATATATTTTGATGAAATTTATTAGGATGGTTTAACGGCCATTGAAGACCAGTCGCCATCATACTACTACAATCCATGCTATTCATTCAACATTGGGTCATCAAAAACATCCCAACATGGCTGTCACCAGGTGGCTGTGTGCCAGTTCAACTCACAGAATCATCCGTTTGTAGACGTTGGACACCAGGAACAAGCTGTTTTCGGATATGGTGATGATAAACAAGTATTATACATCAACTACAGTAATCTGTGTCTGTTATACCAGTACAGCTGTGCGAATGTGCCTAGTAACCCGTGTCTGTTAAACCTGTACAGCTGTGATAGTGTACCCAGTAACCTATGTCTGTTATATATGTACAGCCGTGAGAATGTGCCCAGTAACATGTGTCTGTTATACCTATACAACTGTGAAAATGTGCCAAGCAACCTGTGTTTGTCATACCTGTACAGCTGTGAGAGTGTGCCTAGTAACCTGTGTCTGTTATACCTGTACAGCTGTGATAGTGTATCCAGTAACCTGTGTCTGTTATATATGTACAGCTGTGAGAATGTGCCTAGTAACATGTGTCTGTTATACCTGTGATAATGTGTCTAGTAACCTACGTCTGTTAAATCTGTACAGCTGGGAGAATGTACCTAGTAGCCTGTGTCTGTTTTATCTGTAAAGCTGTGAAAATATGCCTAGTAATCTGTATCTCTTATACCTGTACAGCTATGAGAATGTGCCTAGTAACCTGTGTCTGTTATGCCTGTACAGCTGTGAGAGTGCGCCTAGCAACCGGTGTCTGTTATACCTGTACAGCTGTGACAAAATACCTAGTAACCTGTGTCTGTTATGCCTGTACAGCTGTGAGAGTGTGCCTAGCAACCTGTGTCTGTTATACCTGTACAGCTGTGAGAGTGTGCCTAGTAACCCGTGTCCGTTATACTTGAACAGGTGTGAGAATGTGCCTAGCAACCGGTGTCTGTTATACCTGTACAGCTGTGACAAAATACCTAGTAACCTGTGTCTGTTATACCTGTACAGCTGTGAGAATGTGCCTAGTAATCTGTGTCAGTTAAACCTGTACAGCTGTGATAGTGTACCCAGTAACCTGTGTGTGTTATATATGTACAGCTGTGAGAATGTGCCTAGTAACATTTGTCTGTTATACCTATACAGCTGTGAGAATGTGCCAAGTAACCTGTGTCTGTCATATCTGTACAGCTGTGAGAGTGTGCCTAGTAACCTGTGTCTGTTATACCTCTCCAGCTGTGAGAATATGCCTAGTAACCTGTGTCTGTTATACCTCTCCAGCTGTGAGAATATGCCTAGTAACCTGTGTCTATTATACCTGTACAGCTGTGAGAATATGCCTAGTAACCTGTGTCTGTTATACCTGTACAGCTGTGAGAATATGCCTAGTAACCTGTGTCTGTTAAACCTGTACAGCTGTGATAGTGTACCCAGTAACCTGTGTGTGTTATATCTGTACAGCTGTGAGAGTGTGCCTAGTAACCTGTGTCTGTTATACCTCTCCAGCTATGAGAATAGGCCTAGTAACCTGTGTCTGTTATACCTCTCCAGCTGTGAGAATATGCCTAGTAACTTCTGTCTATTATACCAGTACAGCTGTGAGAATATGCCTAGTAACCTGTGTTTGTTATACCTGTACAGCTGTGAGAATATGCCTAGTAACCTTTTGTCTGTTATACCTGTATAGCTGTGAGAATGTGCCTAGTAACCTATGTGTGTCATACCTGTACAGCTGTGAGAATGTGCCTAGTAGCCTGTATCTGTTATATCTGTACAGCCTTGAGAATGTGTCTAGTAAGCTGTGTTTGTTATATCTGTACAACTGTGAGGATGAGCTTAGCATCCTGTGTCTGTTATACCAGTACAGCTGTGCGAATGTGCCTAGTAACCTGTGTCTGTTAAACCTGTACAGCTGTGATAGTGTACCCAGTAACCTGTGTCTGTTATATATGTACAGCCGTGAGAATGTGCCCAGTAACATGTGTCTGTTATACCTATACAACTGTGAAAATGTGCCAAGTAACCTGTGTTTGTCATACCTGTACAGCTGTGAGAGTGTGCCTAGTAACCTGTGTCTGTTATACCTGTACAGCTGTGATAGTGTATCCAGTAACCTGTGTGTGTTATATATGTACAGCTGTGAGAATGTGCCTAGTAACATGTGTCTGTTATACCAATACAGCTGTGATAATGTGTCTAGTAACCTACGTCTGTTAAATCTGTACAGCTGGGAGAATGTACCTAGTAGCCTGTGTCTGTTTTATCTGTAAAGCTGTGAAAATATGCCTAGTAATCTGTATCTCTTATACCTGTACAGCTATGAGAATGTGCCTAGTAACCTGTGTCTGTTATGCCTGTACAGCTGTGAGAGTGCGCCTAGCAACCGGTGTCTGTTATACCTGTACAGCTGTGACAAAATACCTAGTAACCTGTGTCTGTTATGCCTGTACAGCTGTGAGAGTGTGCCTAGCAACCTGTGTCTGTTATACCTGTACAGCTGTGAGAGTGTGCCTAGTAACCCGTGTCCGTTATACTTGAACAGGTGTGAGAATGTGCCTAGTAATCTGTGTCTGTTATACCTGTACAGGTGTGAGGATGAGCTTAGCAACCTGTGTCTGTTATACCTGTACAGCAATGAGAATGTGCCTAGTAATCTGTGTCAGTTAAACCTGTACAGCTGTGATAGTGTACCCAGTAACCTGTGTGTGTTATATATGTACAGCTGTGAGAATGTGCCTAGTGACATGTGTCTGTTATACCAATACAGCTGTGAGAATGTGCCAAGTAACCTGTGTCTGTAATACCTGTACAGCTGTGAGAGTGTGCCTAGTAACCTGTGTCTGTTATACCTGTCCAGCTATGAGAATATGCCTAGTAACCTGTCTGTTATACCTGTACAGCTGTGAGAATGTGCCTAGTAACCTGTGTCTGTCATACCTGTACAGCTGTGAGAATGTGCCTAGTAGCCTGTGTCTGTTATATCTGTACAGCTGTGAAAATATGCCTAGTAACCTTTTGTCTGTTATACCTGTACAGCTGGGAGAATGTGCCTAATAACTTACGATTGTTAAATCTGTACAGCTGTGAGAATGTAGCTAGTATCCTGTGTATGTTATAACTGTACAGCTGTGAGGATGTGTCTAGTAACCAGTGTCTGTTATACCTGTAAAGCTGTGAGAATGTGCCTAGTAACATGTGTCTGTCATACCTGTTGAGCTGTGAGAATGTGCCTAGTAACCTATGTCTGTTATACCTGAACAGCTGTGAGAATGTGCCTAGTAACCTATGTCTGTTAAATCTGTACAGTTGTGAGAATGTACCTAGTAACCTGTGTCTGTCATGAGTTATATTTGTGTGTGACTGTGATTATGGATGTCCCTAGTTACCTATATCTGTTATAACTGTGTGTGACTGTGATTGAGGATGTCCCCAGTTACCTGTATCTGTTATATCTGTATGTGACTGATATTGAGGATGTCAATAGTTATCTATATCTGTTATATCTGTATTTGACTGTAATTGAGGATGTCCCTAGTTACCTATATCAGTTATATCTGTGTGATTGTGATTAAGGATATCCCTAGTTACCTATATCAGTTATATCCGTGTGATTGTGATTAAGGATGCCCCTAGCTACCTGTATCTGTTATATCTGTGTAACTATGATTGAAGATGTCCATAGTTACCTGTATCTGCTACATTTGTGTGACTCTGGTTAAGGATAACCCTACTGTATTTGTTATACCTGTGTGACTTTGAATGAAGATGTCCATAGTTACCTATATCTTTTATATCTGTTTGTGACTGTGATTAAGGTTGTCCCTCGTTACATATATCTGTTAATTCTGTGTGACTGTGATTGAGGATGTCTCTAATTACCAAGACGTCTGATATCAGTATGTGACTGTGATGGAGGGTGTCTCAAGTTACCTATATCTGTTATATCTGTGTGTGACAGTAATTAAGGATGTCCCTAGTTACCTTGATCAATTATATCTGTGTGACTGTGATTGAGGATGTCCTTAGTTACCTGTATCTGCTATATATGTGTGTGACTGTGATAGGGGATGTCCCTAGTTACCTATATCTGTTATATATGTGCTTGACTGTGATTAAGGATGTCCCTAGTAACATATATCTGTTATATCTGTGTGTGACTGTGATTGTGGATGTCCCTAGTTACCTATATCTGTTATATTTGTATGATTGTAATTGAGGATGTCCCAATTAATCTGTTTCTGTTAGATCTGTGTGTGACTGTGATTGAGGATGTCATTAGTTACCTATATCTGTTATATCTGTGTGATTGTGATTGAGGATGTCCCTAGTTACCTATATCTGTTATATATGTGTGACTGTGATTAAGGATGTCAGTAGTTACCAAGATCTGTTTTATCTGTGTATGACTGTGATTTTGGATGTCCCTACTTACCTATATCTTTTATATCTGTGTGACAGTGATTGAGGATGTCCCTAGTTACCTATATCTGTTAATTCTGTGTGATTGTCTTTGAGGATGTCCCTAATTACCTAGAAGTCTGATATTAGTATGTGACTGTGATGGAGGGTGTCTATAGTTACCTATATCTGATATATCTATGCGATTGTGATTGAGGATGTCCCTTGTTAACTGTATCTGTTATATCTGCGTGTGAATGTGATTAAGGATGTCCCCAGTTACCTATTTCTGTACATTCTGTGTGACTGTGATTAAGCATGTCCCTAGTTAACTGTATCAATTATATCTGTGTGACTGTAATTGAGGATGTCCCTAGTTACCTGTATCTGTTATATCTGTGTGTGACTCTGATAGAGGATGTCCCTAGTTACCTATATCTGTTATATATGTGTCTGGCTGTGATTGAGGATGTCCCTAGTTACCTATATCAGTTAAATCTGTGTGATTGTGATTAAGAATATCCCTAGTTACCTATATTTGTTGTATCTGTGTGTGACTGTGATTGAGTATATCCCTAGTTACCTATATCTGTGATATCCTTGTGTGACTGTGATTGTGGATGTCCCTAGTTACCTATATCTGTTAATTCTGTGTGATTGTGATTGAGGATGTCCCTAATTACCTAAACGTCTGATATCAGTATGTGACTGTGATGGAGGGTGTCTATAGTTACCTATATCTGTTATATCTATGAGATTGTGATTGAGGATGTCCCTTGTTAACTGTATCTGTTATATCTGCGTGTGACTGTGATTAAGGATGTCCATAGTTACCTGTATATGTTATATCTGTGTGTGACTCTGATAGAGGATGTCCCTAGTTACCTGTATATGTTATATCTGTGTGTGACTCTGATAGAGGATGTCCCTAGTTACCTGTATATGTTATATCTGTGTGTGACTCTGATAGAGGATGTCCCTAGTTACCTTTAACTGTTATATCTGTGTGACTGTGATTAAGGATGTCCCTAGTTACCTAGATCTGTTTTATCTGTGTATGACTGTGATTGTTGATGTCCCTAGTTACCTAGATCTTGCATATCTGTTTGTGTTTGTGATTAAGGATGTCCCTTGTTACATATATCTGCTAATTCTGTGTGATTGTGATTGAGGATGTCCCTAATTACCTAGATGTATGATATCAGTATGTGACTGTGATGGAGGGTGTCTATAGTTACCTATATCTGTTATATCTATGAGATTGTGATTGAGGATGTCCCTTGTTAACTGTATCTGTTATATCTGCGTGTGACTGTGACTAAGGATGTCCCCAGTTACCTTTATCTGTTACATCTGCATGTGACTGTGATTAAGGATGTCCATAGTTACCTCTATCAATTATATCTGTGTGACTGTGATTGAGAATGTCCCTAGTTACCTGTATCTGTTATATCTGTGTGTGACTCTGATTGAGGATGTCCCTACTTACCTATATCTGTTATATCTATGTGTTATTGTGATTAAGGATGTCCGTAGTTACCTATATCTGTTGTATTTGTGTGATTGTGATTGAGGATGTCCCTAGTTACCTATATCTGTTATATCTGTGTGACTGTGATTAAGGATGTCCCTAGTTACCTAGATCTGTTTTATCTTTGTATGACTGTGATTGTGGATGTCCCTAGTTACCTATATCTGTTATATCTGTGTGTTATTGTGATTAAGGATGTCCGTAGTTACCTATATCTGTTGTATATGTGTTTGACTGTGATTGAGGATTTCCCTAGTAACATATATCGGTTATATCTTTGTGTGACTGTGATTGTGGATGTCCCTAGTTACCTATATCTTTTATATCTGTGTGACTGTGATTGAGGATGTCCCTAGTTACCCATATCTGTTAATTCTGTGTGATTGTGATTGAGGATGTCCCTAATTACCTAGACGTCTGATATCAGTATGTGACTGTGATGGAAGGTGTCTATAGTTACCTATATCTAATATTTCTATGCGATTGTGATTGAGGATGTCCCTTGTTAACTGTATCTGTTATATCTGCGTGTGACTGTGATTAAGGATGTCCCCCGTTACCTATTTCTGTACATTCTGTGTGACTGTGATTAAGGATGTCCCTAGTTACCTCTATCAATTATATCTGTGTGGCTGTGATTGAGGATGTCCCTAGTTACCTGTATCTGTTATATCTGTGTGTGACTCTGATAGAGGATGTCCCTAGTTACCTTTATCTGTTATATATGTTTCTGACTGTGATTGAGGATGTCCCTAGTTACCTATATCAGTTAAATCTGTGTGATTGTGATTAAGAATATCCCTAGTTACCTATACTTGTTGTATCTGTGTGTGTGATTGTGATTGAGGATGTCCCTAGTTACCTATATCTGTGATATCCGTGTGTGACTGTGATTGTGGATGTCCCTAGCTACCTGTATCTGTTATATCTGTGTAACTATGATTGAAGATGTCCATAGTTACCTGAATCTGTTACATTTGTGTGACTCTGGTTAAGGATATCCCTAGTTACCTGTATTTGTTATATTTGTGTGACTGTGGCTAAGGATGTCCCTAATAACCTTTGTCTGTTACATCTGTGTGACTATGATTGAGGATGTCCCTAGTTACCTGTATCTGTTATATCTGTGTGACTATGATTGAAGATGTCCATAGTTACCTGTATCTGTTACATCTATGTATGACTGTGATTGTGGATGTCCCTAGTTACCTAGATCTGTTATATCTGTGTATGACTGTGATTGTTGATGTCCCTTGGTACCTATATCTGTTATATCTGTGTGACTATGATTGAGGATGTCCCTAGTTACCTGTATCTGTTATAACTGTGTGACTATTATTGAAGATGTCCATAGTTACCTGTATCTGTTACATCTATGTATGACTGTGATTGTGGATGTCCCTAGTTACCTGTATCTGTTATATATGTGTGTGACTATGATTGAAGATGTCCCTAGTTATCTACATCTGTTATATCTGTTTGTGACTGTAATTTAGGATGTCCCTAGTTACCTGTATTTGTTATATTTGTGTGACTGTGATTGAGGATGTCCCTAGTTACCTGTATCTGTTATATCTGTGTGATTGTGATTGAGGATGTCCCTAGTTACCTGTATCTGTTATATCTGTGTGACTGTGGCTAAGGATGTCCCTAATAACCTTTGTCTGTTACATCTGAGTGATTGTAATTGAGGATGTCCCTAGTTACCTGTATCTGTTATATATGTGTGTGACTATGATTGAGGATGTCCCTAGTTATCTACATCTGTTATATCTGTTTTTGACTGTAATTTAGGATGTCCCTAGTTACCTGTATTTGTTATATCTGTATGTGACTGTGATTGAGGATGTCCCTTGGTACCCATATCTGTTATATCTGTGTGACTATGATTGAGGATGTCCCTAGTTACCTGTATCTGTTATATCTGTGTGACTATGATTGAAGATGTCCATAGTTACCTGTATCTGTTACATCTGTGTATGACTGTGATTGTGGATGTCCTTAGTTACCTATACCTGTCATATCTGTGTTTGACTGTGATGTAGGGTTTACATGTATGTGACTGTGATTGATGTTGCCCTAGTTACCTATACCTGTTATATCTGTGTGACTATGATTGAGAATGTCCCTAGTTACATGTATGTGGCTGTTTATAAGAATGTCATTTTTGTCTTCAGTTTTCGGTATTTGTTTGATCTTTTTAAGTATTGGAATTTCCCTTGTTACGAATTTCTTTTTGATCTTCACGAGTTGGAGGAATTCCTTTGTTACTAGTTTGTTTTTTATGTTTGTGATTTTGAGAATTTCATTTTTTACATGTATGTTTTGATCATTGTGATTTTGAGAATTTCACTGTTTACATGTATGTTTTTGATCATTGTGATTTTGAGAATTTCATTTTTTACATGTATGTTTTTGATCATTGTGATTTTGAGAATTTCACTGTTTACATGTATGTTTTTGATCATTGTGATTTTGAGAATTTCACTGTTTACATGTATGTTTTACAATCTTGTATATTTGACTTCTGTATTACAGTTACTAACAGGAAGAGTTGTGCGTATGTTTACTGTAGTAACAGTGGTGAAAGTGTCCTGATCCTGAACGGAAGACGACGATACACCTGTGTTTAATCTCTTCTCTCCCTGTGCTTGTTACAATGGGTGTAGACATGATATCAGTGTCGGTGCTATCTTCTGTGTGGTTTTTATCTGCCTTGTTGCTACATATTTGGTTGTAGGTGAGTTATTTTAACTTATCTGAAGTTAAGTTTTAATCTGATATACAGGGTCTATTGATAAAAACGTAATATTTGTGTATATTATAGAGTTTATTATTGTGTGTGGTAGATTGCCACGTCCTACTGTTTATAATAAGCTACGTTGGTTACAGGAATGTTATACAGACAAGCTGTACACAGGGCTATGGGACTCCAGCTTCTTCCTAATCTTACTTTTTGGACGTCACTTCCGGGTCTCATCAAGGATGGGTACTTATTTTTTGTCAGTCCCTGTTGGACGTCAGCTACCAGAGATGTTGGATACGAGCAACTCTTGTCAGACCGATAATTATTAACGGATTGGTACACAGGATTTGGTCCAAGAAATACGCGGACAGTTGCGGTGTTGATTAGGGGGCTATGAAGGACGATGTATGCTATCACTTGGGATCAAATTTTCCTATCAAATCTTTCTAATCTACCGTTGATCATGAGGTAAATAGTTTTCAGTCAATGCTACACGTAGTTATTCTAGAGAATCCCAGTCACTAGTCTAGGGCTGTTCCGTGTCGTTACCAACGAAAACTATAGCATAAGAAGGTTAAGGAGTCTCCAACTCCACTTCTGAGTTACGGGTTCGTTGCCTACGTGGGTCAAGCACTGACCACAGGTCAATGCATTTTCGCTGAGAACTCCAGCTTTCCTCTGACTTCCAAACCTGGCATGTCCTTAGATTTGATATACGGAAGGGAAAAGAAGGAAAAAGTTCAGATATATAAAGAGAGATCCAACAATAATGAGCACCATGATCCGTGTGGGATGTCTTGTAAAGATGTGTCTAGTTTTATAAAAGATATCTTCCTACGTCATCCTGGTTTGATCAGGACTACATTTTACACATGGAAGTCCAGTACCATCCTTAAACATCGTCCTCAAAATGGATTTGTACCTAACGAGGTCTTTTGTTTTAAGGGATGTCTGAACTGAACATATACCTGATAATGTCAGGGATATGTACTTACTAATATCTGATAACGTCATGTATATCTACGTGTACTTACTGATATCTGATATTGTCATGGATATCTACATGTACCTACTGATACGTGATAACGTCATGGATATCTTCATGTACCTACTGATATCTGATAACGGCATGGATATCTACATGTACCTACTGATATCTGATAACGTCAAGGGTATCTACATGCACCTACTGATATCTAATAATGATAGGGATATCTACATGCACCTACTGATATCTGATAACGTCATGGATATCTACATGTACCTACTGATATCTGATAGCGTCATGGATATCTACATGTACCAACTGATATCTGATAACGTCAGGGATATCTACATGTACCTACATATATCTGATAACGTCATGGATATCTACCTGTACCTACTGATATCTGATAACGTCATGGATATCTACCTGTACCAACTGATATCTGATAACGTCATGGATATCTACATTTACCTACTGATATATGATAACTTCAGGGGTATCTACATGCACCTACTGATATCTAATAATGGTAGGGATATCTACATGCACCTACTGATATCTGATAACGTCAGGGATATCTACATGTGCCTACTGATATCTGATAATGTAAGGGATATCTACATGTACCTACAGATAACGTCAGGGAAATCTACATGTACAAACTGATAACGTCATGGATATCTACATGTACCCACTGATATTTGATAACGTCATGGATATCTACATGTACCTACTGATATTTGATAATATCAGAGATATCTACATGTACCTACTGATAACGTCAGGGAAATCTACATGTACCTACTGATATCTAATAATGGTAGGGATATCTACATGCACCTACTGATATCTGATAACGTCAGAGATATCTACATGTGCCTACTGATATCTGATAATGTAAGGGATATCTACATGTACCTACAGATAACGTCAGGGAAATCTACATGTACAAACTGATAACGTCATGGATATCTACATTTACCTACTGATATATGATAACGTCAGGGGTATCTACATGCACCTACTGATATCTAATAATGATAGGGATATCTACATGTACCTACTGATATCTGATAATGTAAGGGATATCTACATGTACCTACAGATAACGTCAGGGAAATCTACATGTACAAACTGATAACGTCATGGATATCTACATGTACCTACTGATATCTGATAACGTCATGGATATCTACATGTACCTACTGATATCTGATAACGTAAGGGATATCTACATGTACCTACTGATATCTGATAACGTAAGGGATATCTACATATACCTACAGATAACGTCAGGGAAATCTACATGTACAAACTTATAACGTCATGGATATCTACATGTACCTACTGATATCTGATAACGTCAGGGGTATCTACATGCACCTACTGATATCTAATAAAGATAGGGATATCTACATGCACCTACTGATATCTGATAACGTCATGGGTATCTACATGTACCAACTGATATCTGATAACGTAAGGGATATCTACATGTACCTACTGATATCTGATAACGTCATGGATATCTACCTGTACCTACTGATATCTGATAACGTCATGGATATCTACATGTACCTACTGATATCTGATAACGTCAGGGATATCTACCTGTACCTACTGATATCTGATAATGTAAGGGATATCTACATGTACCTACAGATAACGTCAGGGAAATCAACATGTACAAACTGATAACGTCATGGATATCTACATGAACCTACTGATATTTGATAACGTCATGGATATCTACATGTACCTACTGATATCTGATAACGTCATGAATATATACATGTACCTACTGATATCTGATAACGTACGGGATATCTACCTGTACCTACTGATATCTGATAATGTAAGGGATATCTACATGTACCTACAGATAACGTCAGGGAAATCTACATGTACAAACTGATAACGTCATGGATATCTACATGTACCTACTGATATCTGATAACGTCAGGGATATCTACATATGCCTATTGATATCTGATAATGTAAGGGATATCTAAATGTACCTACAGATAACGTCAGGGCAATCTACATGTACAAACTGATAACGTCATGGATATCTACATGTACCTACTGATATCTGATAACGTCAGGGGTATCTACATGCACCTACTGATGTCAAATAATGATAGGGATATCTACATGCACCTACTGATATCTGATAACGTCATGGATATGAACATGTACCTACTGATATCTGATAACGTCATTGATATCTACATGTACCAACTGATATCTGATAACGTCATTGATATCTACAGGTTCCTACTGATATCTGATTACGTCAGGGATATTTACCGATTTATATTTTAATACATCATGGTTATCTACATACTGATAACCGATATTGTTAGGGATATCTATCAACTAGTATATAATAACAATTTGGATTTTCATAGAAAAAATATCTGATCACTTCAGGAACATGTCTAGAATTTTTTAGTTAATCACTTTAAAAATGTCGATGTACACATGCACTTTCAGTAAATTGTTATTCATCAGATATCTACCTATATAATTATTGTTAATTGAGAGATATCTAGTTAAATTGATATCCTGTTATTTTCATTCGTCTAATATTTCACTAAATATTTAGTTTTTAATATCTCTGAAATATCCTTGTACATTCGGTTAGTATTGTTTTTCCTTGTAAATGACTCCTTTGTATTAGATAACTACCTACCTTCTAGTGACGTCATCGTTGTATACTCCAGCAGACGTACAGTTGCATACTAGGGCCCCGTTATACTGATTTACTGGGAGTATGGTCGTTATCTGATCCTGTGAAGGTACAGCACCGGCGGGACGTGTATAGGCAAATGTAGACTTCATTGTCTGATTTCTAACACTGATTACGGAAACAATATACTAATTTAAAATGAACAGTGCATGTTTGGATTTCGGTCTCAATATTAATGTGTAATGTTTCAGCCGCTAGACATATATACATATGTACAAATGCATATGTAATTGTTCCCTGGTTTTATGGTTCTTCCAGCAAATGCTGCGTGCGAAAACAGAAACTTAACGGTAATTAGAAACATTGATATATGAAATTTTAAAGTAAATGTTGTTCAGACCAAAAATTAATTTCTAGAACTCATGAAAAATTGACTGGGCACGAAAACGTAATGGCATAACGAGTACAAACCAGTTTGGTCGTAAAGAGGAAGCTGGTTCGAGGAAAACAAAGTCCTGGTCGGACGGTTTCATAACATAAGAGCGTCGCGGTTGTTAAAAACTACGTAGGTGACATTGCGTGCATGTTCGGTCTTATAGAACAATAGCAACACGCTGGTCGTGTTAAAACGTTTCTGGACAGTCATATGTCGGTCACGCGAAACTCACAAAGAAGATGGTTCCAGGTTGGTAGGAATAATCCCTTCGCTTCTGGATACCCGTGTTATATCCTTACCTCTCGAAATCCGTACTAAGAAATGTCTTTAACAGTTATCACTGACATTTAAATCTCAACCCTAGTAATCCTGACATTTAGATCTCAACCCTAGTAATCCTGACATTAAGATCTCAACCCTAGTAATCCTGACATTAAGATCTCAACCCTAGTAATCCTGACATTTAGATCTCAACCCTAGTAATCCTGACATTAAGATCTCAACCCTAGTAATCCTGACATTAAGATCTCAACCCTAGTAATCCTGACATTTAGATCTCAACCCTAGTAATCCTGACATTTAGATCTCATTCCTAGTAATCCTGACATTTACATCTCAACCCTAGTAATCCTGACATTTAGATCTCAACCCTAGTAATCCTGACATTTACATCTCAACCCTAGTAATCCTGACATTTAGATCTCAACCCGATATCTTCCGACAAAACCCTGACATTTAGATATCTAAAGGCATAACCCTGACATTTAGATGTCTACAGAAATAACCCTGACTATTATATATCCACAGACATAACAATGACATTTAGATGTCTACAGACATGAAACTGACATTCAGATATCTACAGACATAACCATGACATTAACATATCTTCATACATAACCCTGACATTTAGGTACTTACAGACATAGCCCTGACATTTAAATATCTATAGACATAACCCTGACATTTAGATATCTACATACATAACTCTGACATTTAGATATCTACATACAACATCTTGACATTTGATTATCTAAAGACATAACCCTTGCATTTAGATATATACATACAAAGTCTGACATTTAGATATCTGCATACATAACCCTGACATTTAGATATCTACATACATTACCCTGACATTTAGATATCTACATACATAACCCTGACATTTCGATATTTATGTACATAACCCTCGCATTTAGATAT